AATACTGTAGCACAAATATGACAGTAGTAAGTAGCCTACTAACTATTTTTTATATGACATTCTAATGAAATTCAGTATTTAGGTATTAACACTTTTGAGGAAGGAGAAAAAAAAAACACGATTTGTATTTATAAAACCTTTGATGAGAGATGTTGAAATAAATAGCCTAATTGCTTACCCACTAGCCTATTTGAAGAGCTCAAAAACCCTGATGTGACGGCAGTTTTTATTCTGATCAGATTGGTGCTGTTTTTCTTGATGATCATCTGTTTCCAATTTCAGTAACTCATCGTTGCACAACGTTATTACACAATATTTGGATTACACCACCAATGCTTAACAGTAAACTTACTAATCTAACACAGAAACATTTCTAGCACTGAAATGATCAGTGTTTTACTATTTACATTTTTACAGTTTCATTACATTCCCAAGATCAAGACCCGCTCCCTTCATCTTCCATTGGTCTGATGGTCCTGCCACAAACAAACACCACCGCTTCAGCCACAGTTGCTGTGTCAGGAATTCAGCGAAAACTTCCCAGCAGGTCTGAGAGAATTCTTTCTAAAAAAAAAAAGGCATTTTTAAGACATGAAATAATTGAAACTATCAACATGATATCATGATAATCAGATGACGTTAAGATCTTTTTCTAAAACATTGATAATAATACATAGTCCAAAAGATTTCCAAAAGCATAAAGTAAAAATGACACACACACGCACACACACACACACACACACACACACACACACAAAGTCTTTTATTTTGGAGTTTTAGGACATTAGCTTGTGCTAACATGCATGCTAACTGTTCCACTACATGTTACAGTGTAAAAAAAAAAAACACTTGACTTGACATATAAACTCAATAAAAAAGCTTTATTTCAGCTGTAATGTGTTGATCAAATCACTAAATCACTAAAATCTCTCTGAAGACATTTTGATAGTCTCGTACACCGATTCCTCTCTCTTCGTTGCAGTCATGTTGACATGGTCATCATCTTTTGGTTTCTTGTCTCTTTCTCTCCTCCTGTCAAAATGGTAATTTTAAAACGTGTGGAATTAGTGACAAATACAAACATTATAGAAACTGCCAGTCAATGTGTATTTCTTGAATTGATAAAGTTCTTACCGTAAGACGACAATCAAAGAGGAAGCAAAGATGACGTTTAGAACAACGGAAAGGGTGAAGAATATCCAAGGGGTGGAAAAACTCCAACTTACTAAGAGATGGCAAAAATAAAAGGAGAATTTTCGTATATAAGAAGCCACCAAGAAGCCAGACAGATGTCTGACATATGGGCACTATGGCAGAAATGTAAAATTCTTGTAAAACACATGATTGCATCCTGTCTACCTTTGGGTTTTTCAGCCTGACTGAGTGCTTGGATTTCCATTATTGCCAGCCCAATGAGATTTTCACTGACACAAATGGTTGCATTGAGTTTTCCAAGATCAGCAATGGAAACGGTTATGATGCTTACAATGTTCTCTGCTGAAACAGCGCTGTAATATTCAGTAGCACCATCCACCAGCCAGTGTATATGGGGTAACCGCACACCACTGCTGACACACACGCAGCTCAGGTCATCACCCCACACGAAACAACGGGAGCTGTTCAGTATTATTGGGGCATCTGAAATGAAATTATGATGAATTATGGAATTATGGCATTGCTAATAATTGCTATCAGGGTTGATAATTGTGACCCTGGACCACAAAACCAGTCTTAAGTAGCACGGATATATTTGTAGCAATAGCCAAAAATACACTGTATGGGTCAAAATTATCGATTTTTCTTTTATGCCAAAAATCATTAGGAAATTAAGTAAAGTCAAGATCATGTTCCATGAAGATATTTTGTAAATTTCCTACCATAAATATATCAAAACTTAATTTTTGATTAGTAATATGCATTGCTAAGAACTTCATTTGGACAACTTTAAAGGCGATTTTCTCA